TGCACCGGGATGTGCAGTGACAGTGTGCGCAGGATGTCAACTGCACCGGGATGTGCAGTGACAGTGTGCGCAGGATGTCAACTGCACCGGGATGTTCAGTGACAGTGTGCGCAGGATGTCAACTGCACCGGGATGTGCAGTGACAGTGTGTGCAGGATGTGCAGTGACAGTGTGTACAGGATGTCACTGCACCGGGATGTGCAGTGACAGTGTGCGCAGGATGTCAACTGCACCGGGATGTACAGTGACAGTGTGTGCAGGATGTACAGTGACAGTGTGCGCAGGATGTCAACTGCACCAGGATGTGCAGTGACAGTGTGCGCAGGATGTACAGTGACAGTGTGCGCAGGATGTCAACTGCCCCGGGATGTGCAGTGATAGTGTGCGCAGGATGTCATCTGCACCGGGATGTGCAGTGACAGTGTGCGCAGGATGTCAACTGCACCGGGATGTGGTGCTGTCATTTCATTTTGCTCAAGAAAACTGTGTTGTTATTCTGAGGGCACATAATGTTATCATCTTGTGTTTTATTACACTGTGTATACTATATGTATGTTTGTGTGTGTGTATGTAGTGTGTATGTGTGGTATATGTGCAGTGTGTGTGTAGTGTGTATGTGTGTGTATAGTGTGTATGTAGTGTGTAGTATGTGTAGTGTGTCTTTGTGTGTGTTATGTGTGCAGTGTGTGTGTGTATGTAGTGTGTAGTATGTGTAATGTGTATTTGTGTGTGTGTTATGTGTGTAGTTTGTGTGTGTAGTGTGTATGTGTGTGTGTAGGCACAGATATGTTGTGTAGGGAATGCATATGGAGGTCAGGGGACAACTTTCAGAAGTTGGTTCTCTCCTTCTGCCACGTTAGTTCTGGGGACTGGACTCAGGTCATTGGGCTTGGCAGCCAGTGCCTTTACCCACTGAGGCCTCTCAGGGGCCCAGATTGTCTGGCTTTGATAATCAATTTAGCCCTGCTTGTTGCTTTGCAGCGTGTGCTGAACCTGATGGGAAACCCAGTGACCAAACATATCCCTAACTACCGCAGGACGGTCACTGTTCGTCTGAAGCAACTGACTTACCTGGATGACAGGCCGGTTTTCCCCAAGGACAGGTAAGAAAGGAGACCTTGGGTTGTGTGCATTTGAGTGCTTGCCAGTCAGCACACTTGGTAGACTTTCAAGTTTTCTGACTTTTGAGCATTTTCACAAACCGGTAAATACCCTCCGGACCCATTTAATGGTACCATCACTGCCTAGCATAGGAACAGAAGTGCTTGCCCACAGATTGTGTGTGTGTGTGTGTGTGTGTGTGTGTGTGTGTGTGTGTGTGTGTGTGTGTGTACCATGGCACACCTGTGGAGCTCAGCTTGCACTGTGTTGGTCCTGGGACTGAACTCAGGTTATCAGACTCAGCAGCAAACTCCTTTTCCTGCTGAACCATCTCGCTGGCCCTTGTCTCTCTTTTGACTCTTGGGACCAATGCTTCTGTGGGCATTTGTGTGCACATTCTTGTGCAGACACAGGTTTGATCACCTTAGATAGATATATAGGAGTAGAACTGATGGATCAGATGACAACCTCATGCTGGGCCTTTGAGAAGCCACCATTTCTAAAATGCCTCACCACCTTCCTTCCCTTCCAGTATTTTGAGAAGATCTGAGTTTTCTGCATCCTTGCCAAAATCTATTAGTTTCACTCCTGCTGTGGGATGCAAAGTGGAGGCCTGCCGTGCTTGTAATCTGCACCTCCCTGGTGGCTCTTGTGAGGTGGTTTTTAATTGTGTACTGGTGATTTGCATCTGTGCTTTGGGAAATGTTGGCTTTGGGAAATGTGTCTCTGTTCATTTAAAACAACAGTGTTTTAAGGAGCAGTTTTGGCTGAACTAAGCAGGAGTACAGAGTTCCGGTCCTCCTCCCAGTTTCCCAGGGTGAGCATCTTGCATCCTTGGGTACACTTGTTACAACTGATGAACCAAAGTTGATGTAAGATTAGTAAATAAACTCCAAAAACTTTTGAAGATTTTTTTTACTTTTTATTTATTTATTTATTTATTTATTTATTTATTTATTTGTGTGTGTGCCATGTGTATACCATGTGTGTACCATGTGTGTGCCAGCTGCCTGGTGAGGCCAGAAGAGGGTATGGGATCCCCTGGAGCTAGAGTTACAGGCAATTGTGAGTCGACTAATGTGGTGCCAGGAACTGAATTCATGTTCTCTACAGGAACAGTAAGCACTCTTAACCACTGAACCATCTCTCCAGCTCCTTAATTTTGAAGAAATGAATGAGTTCAGGGGGCTGAAGAGATGGCTCAGTAATTAAAGTGCTTCCCTCATGAGCATGAGAATTTAAATTTGACCCCCAGAACACACATAAAAAGCTGGACACCATGGCATGCACCTGCCATCCCGGCTCTGGAGAGGTGGAGATAGGGCTATGGACTGCACTTGCCAACCAGCCCAGCCTACTTCAGGTGCCAGGAGGAGGCCCTGTCTCAAAAAGAAGGTAGATAGTACCTGAAGAGGAAAGACACCCAAGGTCATACCCTGGCCTCCACACACATAGTCACACGTGTGCACCTGCACACACAAGTACAGAGAGGAACGAATAAATTTGGCCAGACAGCATATGTTTATAATTTTAACCTATGCAAGATGTAAAGAGCCTGATAGAGAAATGGCTCAGGGGTTAAGATGTCATCTGTATGCTTATGGTATACATACATACACATAAAAGAAAATATGAATCTTTAAATAAAAGAGTTAATTCAGACCTGTATCCTCCTCCCAGATCCCCCACCACCACCCACTTCTCTGCCTTCCAGGGTGTCACACTTCCTAGAACTCATTATTTAGCCTAGGCTGGCCTCAAACTCATGGCATGGCAATCCTTCTGCTCAGGTGCAGACAGGCATGAGCCCATGCCCAGCTCCCAGTTCTGTCCTTTGTCCTTACCTAGGGCATGTGCAGAGGCGTGGGCACGAGGGGGTTATGCAGCTGAGAAGGAGGAGCGGCTTCAGTGGGAAAGCAGGGAACACAAGAAGATCACAGACAGCCTGGAAGCCTTGGCCATGATCAAGCGGCGGGCTGAGGAACGAAAGAAGGCCAGAGACAAAGGTACGGCCCAGACTGGAGCTGTGCAAGCTGCGGCTTGTGACCCTTTTCACACGAGCCTGGTGTACAGGTATAGAAAACACACAAAGGCCACACAGTTCCTGCAGAGAGATCACAGATTGTCAGAACAACGCTTTGCTAGACATACAGTTTTCTCATTTAATGAGGAAAGCTGATTTGCATGCTAGTGGAATGGATGTGCTTGGTTATTTTTACATAAAGAATTAAACCTTGGGAGCTTCAGAGATGGCTCAGAAGTTAAGAGCACTGCTGCTCTTGCAGAGGACCCAGGTTTGATGCCCAGAACCCATATGGTGACACAAGCATCTGTAACTCTAGTCCCAGGGGATCTGACACCCTCTTCTGGCTCCCATGGGTTCTAGGCACCCATGTAGTACACAGGCATACATCAGGCAAACACCCATACACATTTTGTTTTTAACAAAAGAGAACGAGCCCTTGGCTGGTGGTGGAGATGTCGGGGGTAGAGCATCTGCAGGCGTTTACAATTGATTGACACTGTAGTTTCATAGGTGACAGTGCTGAAGTCCTGAGAGGACATAGCATGAAAGGACAGAGCATGCTTAGGACTGCTTCAAAACTGTGGGAAATTCTGTCTTAACCCCAAGCCAAAATTAATCTGCAGTTTTTTAAAGCATGAATCCTAATTAGTCTTAACAATAAAAACCCGGAGTCAGGGTGATACCTGAAAGATCAGAGAAAGATCAGAGCCATGGTCACTCCTTACCTCTATGAAATCTCAGACTGAAAGGAGGGGATCTTGTCTCTACGAATCCTTATATTCCTGCCTCCACCTCCCTAATGCTGGGATCAAAGGCTTGTGGTGGTATTGTGTTCCCCGAAATACTGTGCACGCTAACCAACTTATGGGGTCAGAGAACAGGACAGCCACAATATTAAACATAGAGGATAGGCAGGGGTAGCACACGCCTTTAATCCTAGGCAGAGATCTACCTGGATCTCTGTATGTTTAAGGATACAGCCAAGCATGGTGACTCATGCCTTTAATCCTAGGGAGAGATGGCAAAAAGCAGAAAGATATATAAGGCATGAAGACCGGAAACTAGAAGCATTTGGCTGGTTAAGCTTTTAGGCTTTGAGCAGCACAGTTCAGCTGAGATCCATTGGGATGAGGACACAGAGGCTTCCAGTCTGAGGAAACAGAATCAGCTGAGGAATTGGCGAGGTGAGGTGGCTGTAGCTTGTTCTGCTTCTCTGATCTTCGAGCATTCACCCCAATATCTGGCCTCAGGTTTAATCTTATTAATAAGAACTTTTTAAAGATTCCTGTTACAAAGGCTTGAGATCCCAAGTGCTGGGATCAAAGGTGTGTGCCACTACTGCCTGGCTCTGTTTCTCTTTTAGACCGGTTCAATCTCGAGTAGCAGAGGGTGGCCTTGAACTCCTGATCTTCCTGCTTCCTCCTCCCAAGTGCTGAGATTAAAGGTGTGTGCCACCACCACCTGGCCTCTATGGTTAACTAGCTTTGCCCTTTTAATTTCCCAAGTTCCACCAACTGGGGACCGAGCATTCAAACACGTGGTCCTATAGGGGCCATTCCCCTCGAAACCACCACAGTCGCCATGCCTGGCCTCTCCTGAACTGTTTTAAAGTAAAGGTAGACCCCAAATCCTTGCCTGCCATGTCCTCGGGCCGATGTGTGCTCTCTCCATGGCAGAGTGCTGCCTATCGAGCTGTGAGCAGAGTGATCCCTTACTGGAGACATTCATCTGCCTTTAGTTATCATATGAACACTCCCTCCACACACCTATTTTTTTTTTTTTTTTTTTTTTTTTTTTTTTT